CTGAAGGGAGTTCACCGGAAGGATGGGGCAAGACTGTTTGCAAGACATGTAGTGACAGGACAAAGGAGAATGGCTGCAGGCTCAGAGGAGGGTTAGATTAGGATTGGGAAGAAATTCTTCCCTGTAAGGGTGGCCAGGGCCTGGCACAGGTTGTCCAGAAAGCTGTGGCTGCCCCATCACAAGGCCACAGGGTTGGACAGGACTTTGAGGCAACCTATTATAGTGTAAAGTGTCCCTGCCCATGGCAGGGGGTGGGAACTGCATGATCCTCAAGGTCCTTTCCAACCCAAAGCATCCTGTGATTTCTTTGGGTGCCTCCAAGTGTCATCCCACGCGTGTGAGGCTGTGCAGAGTCTGGGACACCTCAGAGAGGCTGAGGAGCCCTTGAGCCCTGGGCAGTTTGGGTGGACAGGGGAGTTTCTGGGCTTGCTGYTGACCATTTCTTCATGGGAAGGGTTGTCACRCATTGGRAGGGGYTGCCCAGGGAAGARCWGCAGTCACCAGCCCTGGAGGTGCTCWAGAAACAACTGGASAWGGCAGTGCTGTGGTTTGGTGCTCAAAGGTTGGACTTGATGGCCCTGGAGGTCTTTTCCAGCCTCAGAGATTCTGTGATTCCGTGCTGCTCTGAAGGTACCACAGCTGCCTGCCAATGTCCCACCCTGTGTGGGAGAGCCGTGCCCTCGCAGCATTTCTGTGGACAGAGTGGCTGTCCCACACCCTGCTGCCTTTGTGGGGAGCCTGAGCCATGGGCACACCCTCACAGGACTGTGCTGTGCCCTGTGCACAGGTTGGGATGGTTCTGGCAGGGGGAAGAGGCTGCACAGCCCTGTCTGACTGCAGAACTGCTCCCGAGGTGAGCATCAGCAATCCCGGCTGCCGGCGAGACWGAGCCGTAACAGGAAAACAATGAAGAATTACACCATCAAAGTCTKGCTTGTGGTGTATTCCATTTTTCTTTTGCAGAACTGAGTCACTTGGGGAATGTCAGAGAGTGGATTCAGTGTCAAAACTACTTAAAACCCTGCAAGTTTCTGTTTTGCAAAACCTTGACAGGGGTAGACGCAGTCRGCTCTGTTGTATTTTTGATCGATGGCTGGCAAGAATTAGAACTAAGCAGATTCTAAGAATTCTGTAAGTACTAAAGTTGTTTTTTTTTAGCAATGATTTCTTGCTGGCGAGCCTCTGGGACTTTTAAACAGCAATTTCAAGATGAGCTGATGCTGTACCTGATTATGCACTTGTGGAGATGTGCAGTGTCTGGCTTGGAGGGCATCCCTCAGTCACAGCTGATTTCCCTGTCTCCTGTCTGTGTAGCAGGAGAGTGAGTTTACAACAGCCTTGAGGCATCCCCTAAGACACCATCCAGACATTTAATCAATGGTGTTTTCAGAGAGGTATGAGAATTCTAGCTCACAAGAGAAAAACCACTTATGTATCCCTAAATACTAAATATAAGGATTCTGTGCAGCTGCAGATGCCTTCTGGATTTATGCATAATCCYGATGAAGGTTTTGAGAATATTTTCCCGAGTGTTTAATCACCTGAAAAGTCCAAAAGAATCCTGAACTTTCCCTGAGATCTGCGAACACAAAGAGTTTTTTTACCTTCGAGGAGTCTGGCTGAGATTATGGCACTTGGTGTCTGTCTTGATCAAAGTGATTGTGTTTGAACAGAATATTGCAGGATCACAGAAAGCTGAGGCTGGAAGGACAYTGCCCTGCACAAAKCAGGTTCAGGCAGAGRGGTTACAGAGGTTTGTGTTGGCAYTGARTATCYCCAAGGATGGAAACTCCACGTTCAGCCGCTTTCTCCTCCAAGCTCACAGAGCCTTTGTGCAGTGTGAGCAGTGACCTCTCACTCGGTGTTGTGTGAGTAAATCCCTYTGTTTGAACAGGCAGCTGTCAACCTCAGGGTGATGTTTGTCCTCTGGACTTTGGGATGTGCCTGTGCAGGACAATTTGCAGGATTGAGACCTCTCTCTGTACTTTGCTGCTTTATCCTGTTCTGTGCCTGCTATGCCATCTACAGAGAGTGAATTGTGTCAGGTTATCTCATAATTAGGAATATTATGACAATAATAAAGCTGTGGTTTAGATCCTGYAAACATCTTAAACCCCTATCAGTTTTATTTCTCGTTGTAATGAACTGCCCTTTTTGTCTCCAAAGGACAGTGAGGAACATTCATTCCTTCCAAATGGTGACAMCAATGAAAGCTGTGGGTAAACACCATCCTCATATTACTCTGACAGATCTGATGTAAAGATTTGACACTCTCAGGTCTCAGTTTTGCACAACCCATTTATCACTGGTTTTTCGTTTTCTTTGAGACTCTGCTTTTCCTAAGTTTTGTGGACTTTCTGAATGTACCATAAATTCCATTTTACCATCAAATAAATGGGCTTCCAGTCTTTCTTTATTTGTCTTTATTTATATTTGTCTTTCTTTAAACAAAAACTTGTAAACTCCGCTCTTCCCTTTAGAGAACCATTTTTTTTTTTTTTGAGCATGCTTTGCATGTATGCCAGCATGCAGAGAGTGAGACTGTGCTCAAGTCACTTGAAGAGATTGAACATTAGGGCAAGATGTGTCAGGATAGAAGGATTGGCAGTGTAAGTGGGAGTTATCTGCAATGAACCTGAAATGGGTTCCAAAGGAACCCTTAAATCAGYGAAATAAGCAGCTGCTGTAAACAGTGCAAGCTAGGAAGAATAAGCAATGAAATAATTAATTATTCTTCCATGGTATGTTAGTTCATCTGGCTCCCTTTGCAACTTAAAATACTTAGCTAGTAAAATTATTTTTGTCATCAAAATACAAAGCGTGCCAACAGTACTATTTCAGGAAGCAGGGCAATATTTCATCTGGAGAAATAAACCTTAGCTAACTGTTTTCATATTGCTTGATTGATTTCTTTTAGATATTACTTAATTTTGCTTTTTTTTTCACTRAACAAGATTTAGAACTAGGTCAGAGCAAACCATGTTTATGGCCTTATTAAAACATATAAAMCCAATTGGTTAAAATAATACTAAAGAGGTGAAAACAGAATCTACATTGTGTATGGAATTAAAATTGTAAGGTTCAAAATTAGAATCAAACATTCAGTCCAGATTAGACTGGAATATTTTCAAGGAGGACAGTGTTATGGATAAAAACGCTAGTCTGAGTTTTAGTCTTGGCTCTGGCAGTGGTTTCCTGGATGACCTTGAGGAAATCRATTTCTGTTCTGTGTCAAAAATGTCATTGCCCTTCGTTCCCCCCTGCCCAGGGTTGTGGTCATGCTGGTTTCATTTGTGTTCCTGATGCTCAAATGGGAGCTGCTGTAAAAATGTTAATAAACCAGGAAATCAATTGGGAGCTCAAAGAGCTCAGGAAAGTGTGCAAGTGACACCTTTAGAAAATGTCAGGACATTAGAACATGTGTCCTTAGTTGTCCTAATGTCACCTTTCTTAGGACACCTATTGCCTGCAATGTGTGCTTGTGGAAGTGCCAAACATCTGGTGATGTGGACAGGACCATCCAAAGTGCTTCTAGTTGCTTTTTTTCTGTAAGTTCCAATAATGGAAAAACTTAGCCTATCCTTCCACGCTGAGAAAGAAAAAGGATTTCAGTATTAATTGTATTTACTGCTTAGGGAACACAATTCACTGAATCGTTTGTCTGAGCAGTTGCTTGATATAATTTTCCCAATCTGCTGTGCTGTCTCACTTYAGGAGATGTGACTTTATAAACATTTCTAGTCCT